CATTTTCACTTTCCCCTTATTCTGAATGAAGTTCGAAAGCGTAAAAATCCACTTTGGGGAAAAATTAGTTAATCTGGATTACAGGGAGTGGGAGTAGTGCCAGTACTTGTTGTGGACCTTCACAAATGGCGGGATCACCCAATGAGAACCAAATTAGAGCCACTTCGGTAAAAAAAATGTTCTCAAAATTCCTAATATATCGAATAAAGAGTTTACCGTTATATGAGGGCTACAATAAAAGTGGATCAATATCGATATTTTTTGTTAAATAGATTTGCTACCCAATGGGAACTCAAAATTCCAAATTATAGCCAATTCGGCGGAAAAACGTGTTCGATTGAAAAACGGTTGAAAACCGATATATCCCATTTTCAATACCGAACATCCTAGAAGGAGTAATGAGCAAATTTCAAAGCTCCATCTTAAATACTTCGAGCTCTATTGTGATTTTAACAGACGGACATGCATAAATCGACATAGAATTTTATTCTGATAAAGTGTGATATTCGATGAACATTTCAAGATGTTGCAGACGGAATGATAAATTTAAAAATATTTATGTTCTTTAAAAAATAAATCTGACAGTCTTGGGGAAATATTCCTTAAATACTCCACGCTCCAGAAACCCTTAAAAATATTCTCTAAATAATTCAGACCTCTGTTAGCCTTGGAAAAATATTCTTTAAAAAATCGACGCCTCTATTGATTGGTCTGTTCCCGTACTGCAAGAATCTACTAGTTTTTACTACGATAACGAATTTTCCTTTATAATATCGAAGAAAATAGTAAAATCGAGTAGAATCTTGCAGTATGGGAACAGACTAGATGCTAGAAAATATATTCTTTAAAAAATCCACGCCGCTATTGATGCAAACAAAAAATGCTATAAAAAGTCCTCGCTTCTATTTGCTCTTGAATAAATAATCTTAAAAAAATCCAAGATTCTATTAGTTTTGGAAAAATATTCTTTTTGTTGGTATTGGAAAATTGTTCTTTAAAATTTCACTTCTTTTAGTCTTGGAAAAATATGTTTTTAAAAAATCCACACTTCTTTTAGTCTTGGAAATATATTCTTAAAAAATCGTCAACTGAATATCATCTCAACACTACAATAACTCTTATGCGTCATCTTTTACCATAATAAAAACTTACACTTCTCTTGGATATACCGTACACCGGTCTATGTTCTTCAGGAGTAAATATATGTTACGCCAGAGAAGCCAAATGTTATTTTTCACACAAAGGCCTGGGTATATTTAAAAGTTAAATATTGACCGATTATCATCGAAGGATCCGCAGATCCGCTTCTCCTTGTAAAATTCCGTGATGTTCGGGTCGTTATGGTGGCCTCTAGAATGAACAGAAAAACATACAAACAAGTTGTTGGTCCATTAGATCCCCTAAGAATAAACTGATTTTTACCAAAAACAATAGGGTCTTCTTTGGCCCAAAACGAACGTACAAGCTAAATTTCGTGACGATTAGTATACAACTGTGGCATGTACTTTTTTTTACAAATTGTAATGGACACACATGTGTAGATCAATCAGATAGTCGAGATATGACTACCTGACTACTAAAAGGTGCTTCTACAAACTCATGGGGCTACACAAAGTTATAATACCCTTACAACATATAAACCATAAAGACTCGACAAAATAGTTTATGAAAAAAATAAAAAATATCTAGGGGAATCAAATTTTCAAGGAGGAAGTATGTTGGTTACAATCTAATCTCAATCCTATCCCAAATTCGCATTTACAATCGCAACTGTCATCTCTATTTAAGCTACGAAAGCACAACCCTAACAACAAAGGATTTTTGGCAACTTTCAAATAACTTTGAATTGGCAACACTGTTCCGTAATTTTCATTCATTCATGTTTGTTAATTTATTGTGCGCGGGAGAAACTTTCATGACTTTTCCTTTCGAAACGACAAAAAATCCGAATTATTGAAAATAAAACAGTGTATTTTATTTATATGTGAATGAAAATTGTTCGAAAAAGTATAAAATGAGTGTAACAAATGACAAATTTTCAACGCCTGTGCAAACGAAAAGCAAACGTCTTGGTTTGAAACGCAACAGCAGCAGCATCAGTAAACACCACAACTGTGATACAACAACAACACCAGTAACAACGCCTGTGATTCCAGTAAACAATGTGAAAAGGAGATTGGTGTCTGCAGGAATTCCCCAGCCCCAATCCGATGTTAAAATAAATTATCGAAATTTGGAAAATTTTAATAAAAGGGAAAGTTTTTTGGAAGATGCGAGGAGCCCTTCAACACCAGCCCCACAACAATTACACCGCGAATGTGTAAGTACCAATTGTCGACCCTATCGCCTTTCGTTGAGTAAAAGGATACGAGAAAAAATGACCAAGAAAAGGTTGGAATTTCATATGGCCAATGAAATGGAAAAGCAGGAGGAAGAAAAGGAAAAAATCCACATTGGGGAAGATGAAAGACTGGCAAATCCGGAAGAAAAGAATAAAATGAAGGTAAAAGTTGATCGGGATCTGGATGATATTTCATGTGAAGACCTCTTATGCAGCATAGAGAGGTTGCGAAAAGAGTTAAAAGCCCGCGAAGAACATGCCAATAAAGTTCAAAATCTCAAACAAGCCATTGAGGTTTGGAAAAATGGCTTTGCCTCGGCTTTAAATGATTTGCAGGGCAAAATAACACCCCACTGTGAAAAGGAAACTTTGCTGCAACACCTTCACATACCCAAGGAAATATTGAAATTCATTAATGATTAACTGAGTTCGTTTTATATTCTCAACTCCAAATCAACAGTAACAAAATTACAACCCATCCATAGCTTTTTAATTATTACTTGGTATAGCTCCTATCCTCGATTAAAAGGATAGTAGAAAAAATTAACAAGAAGAGGATGACTGTTATATGATCAATGAAATGGGAAAATATGCGGACAGAGAATCACAAGAAAAATGTAAGAATCATTTTGATATTTTGGTATCATTATTTGGAATATTTATATAAAAATAAAAGTCTATTGCAGATGGAAAGCTACTCAAGGCAACTATTGACAAGACAACAACAACAATTACCCCATTGTGTAAAAGCAATAGGGCTGTTACAACAACACCAAAAATGTGTAGGTACCAATTGTCGTCCCTATAACCTATCATTGAGTAAAAGGATACGTGTAAAAATGAGCGACATGAATTTCATTGAAATGAAAAAATGAGGAGAAGGAAGTCCATACAACTAAGTCAATTCTGAAACGAAAACCGGAAGATATGACTCCCGCAAAAAAATTCCAAAACAGTTCATGACCTCAAAGAAGCCATTGAGGTATAGAAAAACAGCTTTTAATCGGCTCTAAGAGATTTTCAGGGCCAATAAAACCCCATTAAAAAAGGAATCTATTGCAACATCTACACATACCCAAGGAACTATTGAAATTAGTTCATGTTATATTCTAAATTCCAAATCAACAGTAACAAAATTGCAACCCATGGTCGAAATATGAAAGAAAAAGCCCTGGAAATGGTTTAGTCTCCCCACTATGAGGGAAGGGAAGCGTTATTTGGAGAATTAAAAAAATGGAAGTATATAGTAGGATAAAAGCTACTCAGCGCAGATATTGACAGGACAGCAATTACACCGAGAATGTGTAAGTACCAATTGTCATCCTTATCGTCTCGATAAAATTACCAAGAAGCGACTGGAATTCCGTATGGTCAATAAAATGGAAAAACATAAGGAAGAAATCAAAATAGACTTCCACAGAGGAAGATATGCCACTTAAAGATCACTTAATCGGCATAGAGAAATGAAAGCATGATCTAAAAACCTGCGAAGAACATCGCAAAAAGGTTCAACTCCTCAAACATTCCATTGAGGTTAGGAAAAATGGATTTGTCTTGGCTCTAAGTATAAAATCTATGTCAGTCTTCAGTCTATCCTTAGTAAAAGGATAGCGCAATATATGATCAAGAAAAGACAGGCATATGACCAATAATAGGGAGAATTATGAGAAAGAAGAAACCTAAGAAAAAACATCCACGATTGAGGAATGCCTGACACAGCCCATTTCAAAACAAAAAGATTATAACCGGCCAAACCACCTCATAGCGTCGCTTCCACGACAGAGGGGTCATGAGAATCGATACCAACCTACTGCAATATGAAAAAACTTCTTAAGCAGCATAAATAAATAACTATGATTTTAAAAGCCCGCGAAAAAACTTAGCAAACAAGTTGAAGACCTCCATAAAGGTATGGATAACGGCTTTACCAAAAAAAACACCCCTCTAATAAAAAGAAAACTTAATTACAACACCTACAAATGTCAAAAAAAAAAAAAAAAAAATGCTGAAACACAGAGAATTATAATATTTATTTGTTCTACTGTTAATCCTCAAGCAAAAAGGATACGAGAAAAATTACCAAGAAATTGAATTTCACATAGTGAATAAAATGGCAAAGCGCGAAAGAGAATTCCAAGAGAAAACTTCCAAGGAAGAAATGCTGGCAAGGCCTATCTAAAAGCCAGAAAAGGATAAATCGAATTCAAATATCCTATTAATCAACACCAGAATGATAAGATATGCCCTATGTTCTTCATATATTCAGATATATCATTGATGTCTTGAATCTAAATTGTGATTACCTCTTGGAGAGATATCACAGTTCGTTGTGCAGATCGGTATCATTCAATTCCGACATGAAAATTACAAACCTCGCCAAGAACAAAATTCAAGACCCCAAAGAAGACAACGGATTGTAAAATGACTTTGTCTCTCAGAATTAAACGATTTGTAAGCAAAATATCTTCCCCACGAGATGATGCAGGAAGCTGGATTAGAATAACTACACATACCCAAAGAAATTTAAAAATTCAACTACACATACCCAAAGAAATGTTAAAATTCATCCATAATTAAATTAGTTCATCTTATTTTTTTCTTCAATTCAAAAAATCAACAGTAAATTAATTTATAATTCTACGGAAGTTTACAAACAAACGCTCCCCCTTTAATATTTATGTGGTCTGATGGGCTTCTCGGGATCGAATAGTTTGGGATCCTTTAGGAATTCCAAATCTTTGTGATATGTTGGCATCAAGGCACAATGCTGGGCTCTACGTATCGCCTTCTCCACCTCTTCCTGTTTTTGTTTACATAATCCGGTAATGTGACGACCATAAATACGACCGGTATATGGCGATTGGAATTGGGACAGCAGTTTGACATTTTTGTAGTCGGGTGTTATGTTGTGTTTGCACAAAATGCATACTTTACGTTCCTTTTCGAAGGGATTGGCTATTTGTACGGGTTCATCAGGATTGGTGGCAACGGCATTTGAGGAGCTGCTGCTGCCTGTTACTGCAGATGCTGAGTATCGGATGGCTGCGGTACTTAGGGGGCGTAGATTTTTTGCCAAACCACTAAATGCAGATGCTGAAAAAAAAAACATCAATTATTATTTATTGCTGAATAATCTCCATTGTTTAATTGATAACTTACCATTTTGTGCAATAACTTTTGTTAATTTAAACATTTTGCTGTTCACAATTTGCCTTCCTGCTCGCTCGTGAAAACATGAATTATGTGCTTTGACAGTCAAGAACAGCTGTTTTCTGTGTGAAATGAAAAGTGACATTTGTTTGGAAGTGTTCTGAAGACTCTAATGTTAGACTAATGTGAGAGATGTCGCTCTCATATTTCCAAAGGTGTTTGTCCTTACTGCGGAGTGTCACCAAGTACTGTACAAATTTGTAAATAATAAAGACAATTTGGAACAGAAATAAGAAATCTATTGCATTCAATCAAATGTGAAATGAAATAACAAGAAAAAATTACAAATTCAGCGGATATTTTGGTAAGTCTTTTTTTAATGTTATAATTATATTTTATTATTCATAACCGAATTTAACATATTTTACCAATTCTATATTCCACATGGGAAGGCCCTTTTGTGGCCCTATTTTCTGATTAACCCTTTGAGCCCCGAAATTTTTTCCGCAATCTTAGAACAAATTTCTGTTTACAGATTTAATGCAACTATCCTAAATAGGATATGCACAAAATTTGACATCGTTACATCCTTGCATTCGGGAGATACAGTACATTTTTTCAGAAAACTTAAAGTCCAATATCAGGAAAACTAAATGCAAAATCGACAGAAAAATCATTTTAAACTATTCTCTGTATTCATTTTTACAAGAATCAAAAATAATTCTGATGGCAAAATTCGCACAATTTGAATACGAAGCGATTTAGATAATTTGGACTGTATACACAAATTAGTACTGTACACAAATTTACCCTCTTCTCTATATTGAAAGGCTCATAACTTTACCAAAATTTTGAATTTTTTTGATTTTTCTTTTGATATGTGTCGTCCATAATTAGGTCTTGACATATGAAATTCAAATAATATATATCTACTAGCTGCATTTTTAATATAAGCTCTAAAACATTTTGTTGCCTGTGGACAACATTGGGCCACAAAGGGTTAAACTTCAAATTATTTCTACACAGATTTAATGCAATTACCGTAAAAACGCATACGATCGTTACTTCGCGAAATATATCATATTTTGTAATGATCTGTGTTGAAAAAATGTTTGTCTTTGAATTAGTATATCAGAGGGTAATCGCAATAATCGGATCGTATTTTGGGGATCAATTGTAAATTAGTAAAATATAAAATGTGTACCATTTCTCTTACAAGGAATTTGTAAACAATTGTGAAGGAAATAAGTAAAAATGTTAAGACCTGTTTGATAGGCTGATTGATGTTGGGGTTCTTGGGGTGGGGGAGTTTGGTGGTGCGAAATGAAAAAAGTAAAAAATTTTGTTCCTTGAATAAAATATGAGTAGTTGTCAAAAAAAAAAAAAAAAAAAAAAAAATGCTATTTTTACTTCATAGTCGTAACAGCGTGGGCTTTGCATTTGATTTATCAGATACTTTTTTTTCCCGACGTGAGGTAGAAAATCTTCATTCAGCTGATGTTGTGGTTACCGGCACCGATATTATGATTTGTAATAATATATTTATATTTGGAAACACATTTTCATCACATACTACTATGGCATGAGGTGGATGAGATGGTCGGGGATCTTTCGCTTTCCACATAGAGATCCATAGATCCACTTTAATTCTCGATAATTTTTTAACTATTTTTTTGATTGTCCAGAAATCTGCTTGTCATATTCAGAATTAATTCCTCCAAACATGGGACAAATAATGTAGTTCTATGAAAGTACTCAGAGTTCGAACATATTACATTTGACCTGTACTTTTGCGTACCAAACCTTCTTGGCTCGGAAACTTCTACTTCTTCTTAGAAATAAATACAAATTAAATATTACCATTTTCCTCTATTTGTTCCAACGATTCTACTATCTTTCCATAGATTCGTTAAATATTTGTACGCAATCATGCTGCTCACAATATAAATGTAGTCGTTTGAAAGATTTATTTGCTTCTCGAAATATTCAACGTAAAGTAGCAGACCCTTTTGGATATCCCAAAGAATGAGCAAATGTCCATATTGTAGAAAATATACTTCGAATTTCTCGAATCTTCGAAGCTGCATTTAAACATAATTTTTAAATGTAAAAAAACAATAAATGTATACCGCAGGAGGTATGAGAACTCCTTGGGGAACTCATTGTTTCCTTCTATGAGATTTGGAATTGTGTCACTCTCGGGGATGTCAATGAACTGCTGATTACAAATAAAAGGCGCACATCTTCGTGACTGTCGCTGTTACATCAATTTCGAATCCTGGAAGAAAGAGCGGCTGTGCCAATCTATCAGGATTCGAAAGTGACTTAACCTTTGCCCAAAATTTACTTGTTCCTGTGACAATGTTGCATTGTTTTTGTTGGTCTATCCCCTTTTTTCTTTTGTGCTCGCATACTAGCCTGTCGACTTCAGGGTCTTCTGGGGTGTACGATGGAGCTCATCACGTTCATTGGCCAATACTGTCGCCTCAGATGGGAAGTTTGTGATGATTCTTCGGAAAATCCCTCTAAGTTACCCGAGGATCAGGGGGAATGAACAGCTCTCTGAAGCGTTAATTGGTAAACTCTCTGAAACCAGGAAAGTGTGAAGTTCAGAAGTAATAAATGCGGGTGGTCTGTTGACGGAAACGATGATCGAAAGTTGATCTGAGCCGAGTGTAATTAAGGTTTGACAGATTATGTAATTTATTTTCTCTTATATCCGTTGGGGCATCTTTATTAATCGTGCAAAATGTTGAGCTATCCAGCCAGCTCTGTAATCATTACCTAGGACGGAATGCCTCAACTCATGGTGTGGCATTTTGCTTCTAAAAGCGGACTGATATCCGGTAAATAACGCGGAGTGCAGCTGTTCATTGGTGGTATATAAACATTTAGTACCTCTACCTCATCAGTTCCACACATGACTGTTACCCACATACAATGATTTCACCTGTTGGGGAGAACATCGCGGTTGAACGGCAGGAACGAAACATTTTCTAGGCGCGGAACAGTAATATGAGGTGTTAAGTGCTGCGTATTTTGCTGTCGAGGAAACTGAGCCACTCTAGGGGACGTGCTAGCGCAGCATGAACTGACAGATCTCTTATTGCAGTACTCCTAGATCTAAAGCAACCTCGAGCAAACATTGCATCTTACCAAGATGGATCTATGGTGTATGCGGTTCTGCCAAACACTACAGAAGCAAGGTGCGGCATTTCTTCTATCCCGACACGGACCAGTTTGTTCGGAGCTGGCAGGCAGGGATATAATGACAAAAATAACGTACATTTATTTGCCGAGGTGTGCGCCTACGAGCGGAATCCGCCACCCGAGTCAATCTGGCACATAGATAAAATGGACCAACAACTATTTATATCTGTTTTTCTGGTCATAATTTGTTCCGAAAATACATAGACCAGAGAAGTTGACCGTATATCGGAGAGGAATGGATGTAAATGTACTTGGATGTGGGAGTTATATCTTAATATGATATTGTCTAATATTACCATGATAGCATTTTCAAATATCATGTCCATTGTTAGAAGTCCTGGATGGGTCTGCAAGTCCTGGATGGGCCTACATCTTTATGTTTGTCTGTTCATATAAACGCTTTATAGTCCGAACACCACGAAACTTAACACGGTAAACGGAAATTCTGTATGCATGATAATTGATTACGAGTCCACTCTTCGTGAAAATATTTTTTTTAAAAATGCATATGGGAAATTACAAAAATCTTTTAAATTCCTTGAAGCTGAGGTTATCAAGGTTATAACTCGCGAAATATGAACATATTGCATATAATTTAAATTCAATTCTATAAAATGAAGTGTTCTTGTCAAAATCTTAAAATATTGGTAATAAATAATAAGTTTGGTGGAAGCTGTGATGGTGGTAATGCAAAAAAAATGGGTGAAAATGTGTTGAAGCCAACGATTTTTTTTGTGTTCGTTCCCGATTTGTGGTTAAACTACACAACGCACGCACATGTGATCAGTGACTAAGTTGCAGAATACCCCATGGACAATATGATTCTAATGTATGATTTTTCGATATAATCACTGCCTCCACCCAAAAAGGATGCTGATATTTTGAAGCCGGATTTTCCGCGTTTTTTGAATTTTTCTTATAATTAGGATGCGCATCCAGATAATGGACTAAACTAATTATAAGATTGTAGAACTCGTGATTTTGCTTCGTTTAGTGTATATCTCATGAATGTGCTCACCGTAGCTTCTTTGCAATTGGGTTCCAAAGACGAAAATTTGGTGCGTAAATTTTTATAAAAAACATATTTTTTGAGTCTAAAATTAAGAAAGTCCATTCAAATTCCGTGGAACCCCGCGTGATTTTAGTTTTTTTACGTGCCGGATCTAATGAGTCCATCCATGTTCAATTCCGTCCAATAAAACGGCGGATATAGGTACCTTGAATGTGGGAAAAACTGCAAAAACTTATTTTGACAAATTCGCGTAAATAATCGCGGTTTTCTTCTAATTAATTTTACATGCATTAATGCTTGTATTGTCAAATTCGCGAATCTGTGTGGAAATAGGTCAAAAATACATCGATGCGCGAATAATATGCGTATTTTATCCAAAATTGATTGTGGAGGCACATCCGCGGTTCTTAACCGATCCTTTTAAAATAGGTATCCTTTTGTATATTTTCATAGGAAGTTGCTGAAATCGGATGCGCATAAAAATCGTATGCATGTTGCGTGATTTTTAGCCATTTTTAGGGTTTTTGCATAGTAAAGTGCATCGAGTGGCACACTTTGACCGCTATATTAAACATCGAAAAATTCATAATTATTGAAAGACATTGATTCGGTTTATACGAAAATCGCATGCGCATCAACTGATTTCAACTAATTCGCGAATTGCAAGCTTTTCAATATTGATCATTTTGATGTATTGCAACTGCAATATATTTAGTCATTAATGACGTCGAAACTCTTATCAGATAAATCTACCGATATTTAACAATCATCTAAAAGAATTTGCAGAAGAAAGCGTCGTATATTTTAGAAGATTAAGGCAT